TCAAATCTGGATTCAGCAAAATTGTTCTTTCCGCGTACATGCACGCGTTTGTATATTTTTATCGAATAAATATTCTATTTATATACATACAAGTCTTCGTTCCTCGCAGATGAGACAGAAGCGAGATAGATGAACATAAGATTCATTATGAAACGTGTGAATTTTAATCAATGCCGTTCTCGATTTTCTATTATAGGATCCTCAGGCAAGTTACGACGTCAACAGTCACGATGAAGATCCCATGCCGAGGTACGATCTCGTAGATAGCAATCGACACGGCACCAGGTGCGCCGGAGAGGTCGCAGCCACTGCCAACAATTCTCTTTGCGCCGTAGGTGTTGCTTTTGGAGCAGGCGTAGGTGGTGAGTATATTCTACGAAAGGATTACTTAATATTTCGATGCACTTTGGGAATCGAAAAGACTTTACGTACTGCATTTTTTAGAAACTCTTTTTATATACACATATATAATTTAAGAGCTCTGATGAGCTGTGAAGATTTTTATTTTAATCCGTGTCTTATCTTAATCCTGAATTGCACAGCGCGAGTAAATGTAAAATTTTAATTGCCGCTTTAATAAGAGCTTATTGCGCAAAAGTTCGAGTGCAAGATGAAAATAAGATATTAAAAAACTTTGAGGAGAAGCGGGAGAGGTGAGGTGTTTAAATATTAAATCATCGCGGAAATGACAGTTCAATTCCGGGCAATCGCGCTTAAATCTATTTGCAGTTCTGTTTCCAATTAGCAGCAGCGAAGTCAGGGTACTCGCGCGCTGCGAACGACACGTGTTTGTAATAAGCGGAATTGATATCGCGAGGTCGCATCATTTTCGAGTTAGAAATGCGGGATTGGCAATAGCCTGTTATGTGCATTACATTCGGGACTGATCCAAATCGGCGCGCAGTGCCCAATTTCGACCTTGTAAATTGGGGCTCTCTATTCCACATGTTGTGGCAATTGTGTAGGATAATTAACTCAAACGGGAAATGCGTGCCCGTTTGGAGGCTCTTGACATACATATATACACGTGTATATCTCTGAATTATATATATTCTCAGAAAATCGGCAGTAAAGATTTGCATATCTTTAATATGCATGCGAGAAATCGATTATTTATGAACATGCATGTGCTACATAAAGTCACAATGCTGCTATACATAATGTTGGCCATTAACTTTCCATAATTCCGTCTTCGAACAGGTGTTCGAATGCTGGACGGTGACGTGACAGATGCCGTCGAAGCGAGATCCTTGAGCCTTAATCCCCAACACATCGATATTTATAGCGCCTCGTGGGGACCGGATGACGATGGTAAGACTGTAGACGGTCCTGGTGAACTGGCTACCAGAGCCTTCATCGAGGGAATTACCAAAGTGAGTGCCGCAGAGAGCTATATTATTTATATCTCGCGTGTGACGCGCGAATTTATTTATAGACGCAAGTCATTAAGAATTCTAAAATACTTCTTAAATCTATAATTATTTTAATACTGTTGTTTTTATTGCCTGCGTTTTCATCAATCTTAAAATAAAAATTCGTGCGCCACATAAAATGAATTATGTTTACATTTATTTTTAACTTACAAGTTTCGGTAGCTGGAACGAGACAATGTTGTACTAAAAAAAATAGGTTTGTCCAGAAAATAAATTTCAAATCGGAGTATTTCGTAAAGTTTTCCAACAAATGCCGCTTTCTTCGTAAATATTATGTAAACGTTATTTGCTTAATCGACAGATTATTTGTCAAGGATACTCGTAATAATTATCTTAATTGTCATATCTTTTTCATTATTATGTCTCTAACAAGTTGAAAGAAAGTATGCCGCGTGCCCTGAAGCTTCAGACTTCGACGTAGCAGCGTAATCCACTTAGGACTGCAATTTTCTTCGCTATAATTTCCCGCGCTATGACAAGATAAATGCAATTAGCTGCAAGGTACCTCCGTACGACATAGAAGCTTCCAGTTTGCTTTAAGACACTTCCTTACTCTCGAGCGTCGAGCACGGGATTTTAAAGCTTCGCATTACAACGCTTATGCTTTGTTAATACGTTACATAAAGAATCATTAACTATAGAATTCAAGTGAAATTTCTCAGCTATACGCGGGAACTCAGATGTTAATTTAGATAATTGATGATTTTTAATTGAAAATTAATTGAGAATTTTAATTAAAAATTTTTCTGTAGGTATATAAAAAATTCTTAGAAAAATACTATATATTCGCGAAAATAATATTAATCGATAAGCTATTTAATACAACGTTGCAGTACTGAAATGCCAATGCGAGACGTTGCTCGCACTAGAGATCGTTCCAATTTTCCATTATTTTCCTACGGATTGGAATTCCTTTGTAATTACTCTCATCGGCTATCAACATTTTTATTTGAGAATAAAAAGGAGATTTAACAGCTATCCTGATTAAAGTCGACGAACTCCAAGTTCAATTATCGCTTTCCCGATTTCTTACGTCTCGCTCCAAAGAAATACATTTAACTCGGTAATGCTTCTCTTTGTAGAACTAAACAGAGAAGAAGAAGTTGCTTTAAGTGCCGTAACTATTACAGATTTCTCACTCAATGAGCACAGGGAAAATGTAGACATTTGTTTTTTTTTCGATTGCGAGGCAGTAAGAAGTACATTCGAACAATTTTAATATTATATATATTATTTAATATTTTAATATTGTTTTCTTTTCTCGATAATGTGCACATTTCGCATATATTTTCTTTTTTTTTCTTAAAGAATTTTTTAATAGGGCCAAAAACGTTACATCTCTGTAAAAATAATTACGCGAAGATCGTCTTTTATACTTTTCATCTTTTGATTAAAAATTTAGTGTGACATTTACTTTTATAAAAATAGTGAAACCAATTTAATTTAATTTTCTCATTTTTAAGAGTGATTATTCTTACAAAATATTGTGTATAAAAAGTGTACGATGTCTCTCATCGAATTCCTTCGAATCTCATAGCTCTTCGAAAACAAAATTCGCCGGTTCGTTCATTAATGCGATTCGTATGCGCTCCTGTCCGAACAACGCACCGGGATGAAATGAAATTTGCACAAATGTATCACGCAGAAGCATCCCCCTGAAATCTTCCGAGTTTCAATGCGGCGACAATGGCCATTGTCATCTCGATGTATACGCCTCGGCTCTTCGATCGCGTTCGCAGCGTTCCTTTATCGCGATGGCGAACTTTAGCATTGAGAGGGGGAGGCCTCTACTTCAAGTAACGATCATTAAAGCGCCGATACCTAGCACTAAAACGGAGCTATCAGATGCTGTCGAGAAACTCTAGTAAAGATCCTTCGTATACAGCCCGTTTCTATTATCTACTTGATTCACACGATCCCGCGTCCTATTTTACGACAGTCATATAGCCAGTGACTCGATAAAAAATTAAAGTTTTTTCGTTATCGTCTTTTTGAAAGTATTTCGGGCGCGAAATTCATTCTCGAAATAAGTACACGCGTGAAAACTTCTTTAAATATCGTTCAAATTTATGCAGATTGCATTAATGGTTAACGATCCATTAGCATTCTGTTAATGCGTCTTACAACATTAAAATATTATACTTGAAGTTACAAAAGAGAAGCGCTGAAAATATCTAGTATTGTGCTAATAATGTTTTCTAAATTGTCGCGCACTACGTTGATCGCTTCAATGTCCGTAATCAACGATTGATTTTCTTCGACGTCGCAGTCGTCGACGGAACGATGACAGATGTAATTCGATTAGCAGGAACGACGAAGAACTCCTACAGTCAGACCCGGTTTAATAGACTCGCTCGAGAGGTCAGCCCTCAGAAAGTTTCTAATTGGGTGCTTTTAAGCGACCGGCCGGCTTGCGCCGCGCTAACACGTATTACCATTTTAAACTTACTGCCAGCGACGAAACTGCAAATCATATGCAAATGACAGTATGGACGATACAAAACTCGTTAAAACATATGATAACTATCGAGTGAAAGACCCTCAAGAAATAGTCACAGGTGCACTTCCTTTAATTACAGTTACTCTTTGTGTTAAAATTATGCTAAAACGTTTTCATATACAGTAGAACTTACTTACATCCGGTGAACGTTCTATGTGGAGGATAGAATGAGTAGTAAAATGAGTAACATTTAAATCACTTCTCGGCAGGATTATTAAATGGCCATTATGCTGCCGAGATTGCTTTTATCTCGTAATATCTTTTATTTTGCGCAATAGAATTTAAAGTCGACATCCGTATTTTCCGAAATCGATTTTTATTGATTACACACAAACGAAACATTTCACAGCTAGAAACGAAATAAAAACAAAATCATATAAAAAAATTTAAATCAAGAGACAAACATATGTATCGTCGAAAAATTTCCCTTGAATTTTTTAAATCTAAATTTTATCCATTTAATTTTAATTGATATACGATATAATTTATATTGTATTAATTTAAATGTATTATACAAACTTACGTAATGGGATTGTTGAATAATTGTATATATATATTAAATCTATCTTTTTTAATTACTGCTTTTCATCGAAATCTGTAATATAATACGTAATACAATATTTTAATATCAGATGTAACATAATTATAATACAGAAAATAATAATACAGAATGTAATGTAATGGAAATTCGCGTGCAATATGATACTGTCAACACAGCATTTTTATGTAACCGTCCTCTAAATACTGTTTTAAAAGATGCGATTAGTTTATCTACATTTTCTCAATGTTTAAGCAACTAATATAGACAACTGATATATCAAGCTATTATGTTATTTCAGCGACTGTTTGGTTTTGCGCACTGTTATATATACCTGACTGAACGACAATTCCCTTTATATCGTATTATGCACTATCTTATATTCGACAAAGGCAAATACGTGTACGGCTCGGAATTCTCTTTGGGACCTGTTATCAGATTCGATAATCTCACCCTTTTGTCGGCAGAATTGTAACTAACTGCAGAATTCGTACATATTCAACAAAATTGCGTGAAATATGTGCATATATGCGTTAAATTAAATTAACCCATACGTATCATTTTTTTTTATGTTTGCAATTTTATTTTAATTATTTTGAATCGGATAGAATGAATTAAATTTGTTTTTAGTGGAAATATCGAGTAGAGAATAATATATTTTTGTAACGCTAATTTATTTTATCACAGTTTATTATAATCTACATTTAGAAATTTAAAAAGATATTAATTTGGCGTGAATTAGATTACATAATAATAATTTCAATATGGTCGATTAACAATAGTTATACAGATCGAATTTAGCTGTCTGGTACAGTCAGGCGGATGCCTTATCACTTTACGATCAAATAGCTTTACTGATCAAAGGCTGGAACACTATATTGCTGAATTAGTTAACGTCGAGCCTCAAAGAGAGTTCAGAGTTCGCGGTCACGCCTATGTGTACCTTAGTACCGGACGACTGGTCTTATCACGAGATAGCCGGACCCGCAGGCTCGATAAAGAGTGCATCTGTAAAACCAGGCAATATACTTCGCGGTGTATAAAAGTGTCATACAAATCTCCCGAGGTATTCATAAAAGAAAGATTCGTGATGATAAGAACTGAGATACGTGACGAGATAACGAATAAATATTTAAGCTCTGCAGTTCTCTGTAACAATGATTAACTCGAAGCTTTCTTGAAAAATTCTTAGAATTCATTACATAAGTAACCGGCACGCGCCACATGAATAATCTCCAATCGTCCCTTTGCCCGCCGAATGATCTCGCCGAAGATTATGAAACTCCATTGCCAAAATTCCCCTTTTAATCTCTGAATGGGAGTCACATAGAAAATGCAGGAGCGTTTCTCGTTTCTCGAAAGAGCTCAAGACACACAATTCAGAGCCTCACTCAGAGACCTTACGGAGACCATTAACGCTAAACACTCAGCCTCATCGGCTTCCTAACAATGGTTTCGTTCCGAATCATCCGCTATTGTGTGTCTACGGGGCGCACAGAAAGCGGCTTTAACATGCAAAGTGTCTCAAACTTTGAAAGCGCCTTAAGCGTTTCGAGCGTCTTAAAGCCAAAGTACCGGCGAAAAAAGTCAACCGCGCCTAGAGTATTATCCGTATAGCGGCAAATCCAGACTCACTTTAGCGTTTGAAGCACCGTATAACCGCTTGTTAAATCAACGCCATTTTAACGCCGCGACTCGAATTTGCCGGGGCGCGCGTTGTAAGTCTTCTAAATTGTATATGTATTTATGCACGAGGACTCTCTTAAGTATATTTTAAGACAGTCCGAATGATTGCATATAATTCAACGCACATCATATAACAATGGTCTTTTTCGGTGAAGTAAATTATAGAAACTTTTCAATGAAACCCCCGTCGCAGGGTCGGAACGGTAAGGGCTCGATCTTCGTGTGGGCGTCCGGGAACGGCGGCCGGGACCACGATAACTGCAATTGCGACGGCTATACCAATAGTATCTGGACGCTGTCGATCAGTAGCGCGACAGAGAACGGCCTTGTGCCCTGGTACAGCGAGGCATGCTCGTCCACCCTCGCCACCACGTACAGCTCGGGCTCTACCGGCGAGAAGCAGGTCGTCACTACGGATCTGCATCATCACTGTACCAGCAGCCACACCGGCACCTCCGCATCGGCGCCGTTAGCGGCCGGCATTTGCGCTCTCGCTCTGGAAGCGAACAGAGATCTCACCTGGAGGGACATGCAGCACATCGTGGTCAGAACTGCCAAACCTGCGAACCTGCAGGCGCCCGATTGGGTGGTCAACGGCGTCGGTAGAAATGGTGAGTAATTCATCAATTTATAACAAGAAATAAAAAGAGAAGATTTCTTAAAAATTAAACTTGCATAATTTTCATGAGAAAAAACAAAATTATTAATTACGTAGCTATATGTAAATTTTAAACTTATAAATTTTAAAAGCAATTAAATCACAAAAGTTTCAATTTTTATAGAATAAATATAATAATAAATATAACATATATTAAATATATAATTAATTAATATTTATCTTTTCTAACAGAATATTTGAATCAATTTATCATATATTTATTTAGTGAATTAATAAGTATAGAATTCTAATCTAGATAATAAAATTTTATTTAAAAAAAATTGGATAAAAATCTTTTCATTGTTGCGATTCAATTTCCGTTTAACAGTGAGCCACAGCTTCGGTTACGGGCTGATGGACGCCACTGCCATGGTACGCTTAGCAAGAAGATGGAGAACCGTCCCGGAGCAACACAGATGCGAAGTATCGGCGCCACACACGGGCAGGTGAGCGTTCACAAATTATGCTATTGAATATAAGTAATAGGAATTTTGAAAGTTCTTTTTTTTTTATTCAAATTATCGTTACACGAAGAATAATGTGACAATTATGCAAAGAATCGTCGGTTCTAAGAAAACCGCTCGAAGATGAGGAAAATCGGGATTTGATTCGACCGTACAGATCGCTATCTGTCCCTTGGGGAAACGAACATGTCTCTCGCAGATTGCAGATTCGTTCGAGCATGTCGGCTACCGTCAAGCGGGCTTTACTCGTCTGAAATTGCACTGAAAATCACGTGTAATGTAGCATTTACATTGTCGAGGATTGCAACGAACGAGGACAAATCGCACGTTGTGTTGAACAAGCATTTACACTTAACTTAAAATGTAATCATTTTCTCTCTAAATCTAAATCAGTGGAAAAATCACTGATTGAGTCAGTAAATCTATATAATCTAACTTAATCTAATGCTTTGCATTACTGATAAATAAGTGAAACAGAGCCGAATCCGCTGTGCAATTAGCGAGAATTGCGAAATCCACTGATTTGTTAACGATTACAGAGATTTTTTACTTATTTATTAGTGATTTTCAAGAGTCAATAAAGTTGAATTTCACTGATTACTAGTAATATACTTGGGACTGATGCATTCAATGAATAACCATTGATAATCAGTAACTATATCCACTATTTAGAGAGTTCAAATTGCGCTAAAACACTAGACATGAAAGCTGTAGTCAGAAATTCTGTATACACAATAATTCTGAAAGGCTTGTGCTGATAAGCACAACAATTGAAAATTATTGATGCAATTTAATATTTACTATTTTTAACGTTTTAAAATAATATTTAATGTTTAAAAAATAAAAATATTACAACTGTGTTTTCTACAATCTTATTCGTCAGAAAAAATTGTTATCGATGTTTTACTTATTTTATTAATATACTAACATTAAAAGTCACTAGTTAGAATTCTGTATACACAACATGTATACACAAATTCTGAAATGTTTGTGCTACTAATAAGCGAGCGATTGAAAATTATTAATGCGACATTTGTTGTTTTATCGCACTAAAATAATATCCAACGTTTGAAAAACAAATATACAATCGTTTACAAAACAAATATGGCAATCGTTTGAAGAATAAATATTACAATTGCTTTTTATAATTTTCTCTCTTCAGGAAAAAATTGTTAGCGGATGTTTTATTTATTTTATTAATACTTTACTAACATTAAAAGGACACAATTTTCATAAATAATGTAGAATAAAATAACTATATCAACTAATATCTTGATATAAAAATACCAAGTTATATAATATTGCTAAAAGAGCATTCGAGAAGTGGCACAATTCGAGAGGTATAAAGTATTTAACAAATAATGCGCAATTGACCGAATTGCTCGGAGCGATGATTTAAACGAGAAAAGAATATAAATATATATATATATATATATATATATATATACATATATACACTTAAAAGTATACCTGCGAAAAATTGGTATGCGCGAGCTTAACACTTGACCCGAATTTTCGTTTACTTTCTAGGACAATACCGCCGAAGAGCCAATTGGTCCTCGACTTACATGTCAAGGAGTGCAGCGGCGTTAATTTTCTCGAGCATGTTCAGGTAAGTTGAGCGTGTCATTCACAAGTGACATCGCTAATTAGCGGATTTCGGTGTCGAGCTAAACCGAGAAGCACAAACTCGGACTGCATTTCGAGAACAAAATGTTTCGCCGGCTGGCGCTGTAACGGTAGAATTTTATTTACTTTTACATTCGAGTAAACTAATTTATTTGTCATCGTTTTGTTCACTGCCTATGTGGAAAAACTAAGGTAAACTGTAACTCATGCTAAACAGTTTTAATGCTCGCCAAATTAACTTAAAGTGTATTAATGACTGCGTCTGTCGGCGAAATGTAATTACTAGATCCGGTTCAGATCTCGTGTTAAAGAAACTAAATGAATTAAGTTAATTACTCTTATGAAATTATTAGTTACACGGCGTGAAATTACCTCGTAAAATCTGCGTCTGACTTGTTCCCTCTTTTTTTTTTAGATTAGTTAACTTAGCAGAATTAAATGTATACATAAAGTTATTAATGAAATATTGTGCCATCAATTTGGAAATTTGTCAAGTTTCGGTTTCTTTTTTTTTCCCCCCACAAAACTGGTATACAGAAAGTCGTAAATGTCGGTAATGAAAAATATATACCGTGATCGGTGATAATGGCACAATGATATAACGCTTGTCGCAGGCGAAAGTATCGCTGATGGCAGTGAGACGAGGGGATCTTCAGATACAGCTAACATCTCCTCAAGGCACGAAGAGCACTCTTCTCGCTAAAAGGCCGCACGACATCTCGAAGGCCGGTTTCAGCCAATGGCCATTTATGTCAGTGCACACGTGGGGTGAGAGGCCGCACGGCACCTGGAAATTAGAAATTCACAATGAGGGTCGATATCTCGGTAAGTGGATTACGTCTTCCGCTATTTCGCGTTATCGCACAATCATTGAAGATTGCCTGATTAATAGTGATGAGCGACTTAATTCCGCGATATTAATCACGATCATGTCTGCGTCTTTAATATGCTATGTGATTTTTATCGCTAATAACTAGCTGCCAGTTAGACTAATTGAAATTACTTTATTAAATTATTGATCGTTAAAACTCAATTTCACCTAAAGAATTGATTTACCTTTAAGTAATTTTCAATAAAACAAATATATATATATCTATATATATTAATTAAAATTGTTTAATTGAACGAACTTACCGTGAAGTTCGATTCCAATTATGCTGTCTCGTCCGGATGGATATGTAGTAGCGATCCGTCGCGTTATCCTCAACAGGCAAATTCAAAGCTCAAAAAGCT